AAACAACGTCAGAATGTCCAGAAAAGTTGCACAGATCGCTGTCTCTCTTTGGTCCCTGGTGTCTCAACTGTAAGGCACAGAGTTTCAATCATAAAAGTCAACAGCAAGGAATGTTTTAAAATGTACTGTTGTAGAAAGCAATAACTGCTTTACTTTTATATTCATTATGGTGCTGAGTTGTTATAAAGATAAACCTGAAGACGCTGTAATAGACACGTCCACTCATCACGGAGACACGCAAACACAAGGAGGAAGTAATCCAATTATTCAGTCCAATCAATTCAGGGGAATTTCAGATGAAAGAAGTGTAAAGTTTTATGAGTCAAAAGAAACAAGGCTCATATATAAGGAGATGCATACAGTATGTGGGAGGATGAGTGCTGGCAAAGAGAAGAAAAAGGAGTGTGACAGACAGCAGGGGCAGTGATGCAAAAAAAAAAAAAAAAAAGGTGGATGAAAATGTAATATGAATGTTTTTTTTTTTTTTTTAAATAACAACATTAGGAGGACAAAATCCAGATGCAAATTTCTGCAAAATCTATTTCGGAAATATGCTACAGAGTGTGGAAAAAGGGGAATACGCTCATAGACATGAAAGGCAGCAGCGATTGTATAGAAGTGTTTAAAATTGCATGACAGCGCTGGAGCGGATTTCAAAAGAATTCAAATGCAGGGTTCAGCCAGAGTTTAAATTAGAATACCGCAGAGCTGTTCACCTCATTCTTTTTCTTCTTTTCTTTCTTTTCCCTGTTGCTAAAGTGCAAAGAAAAGATCTCATCCGCTGTTCATCCTATGGATTTATGTTTACATCGTATTTTGGAAATCCATGTGGTTCTTTTCTTATTTTGTAAATTGCGTGGCTATAGATTTGTGCGCGAGTTAACGACATGAGGCAGACTTTTTAATGTGATGTCTGGCAGCATTATTGCATCATTAATCAATAATTTCACATTTCAACAAAAGGAGGAACTTCTTTGCCTTCGAGTGGCGTCTCACCACCGAGGCTGTAACGTGGCAGAGAAGACGTCGCACTACAGTCAGTGCTGTTCACACAGCAGCAGTTCACATGGTACTTTAGAAGACGGTGGACACTTCCTGTATCTAGGTCAGGCTGACAAGACGGCTCTGAATGGGTCTGGGTTGGAATCCAACCAATACACATCTCTGGGCCCTGAATGAATAAAAGCTTCAGACTTAGCACTACACATACAAATATTGGTGTGATGAGCTGCCTAGATCAGTGGTTCCCAAAGTGAGGGGCGGAAAAAGTTATTGCACTGCTACTTTTTTTTAGCAGTAGCTTTAACAGTTGGGGATCGGTCTAGCCCCATCCACCCTAATTTGCATGAAAAACCATAATCAACAGGTCAAAACCAAACAATCCAACTAAACATATGTTACTATTGAAACCTGAAACGTTAGCGGGCATCGTGGAACAAAGTCAATATCAAACATCATGTGTTTGAAAACAGCATGAGTAGAAAAATAAAAGTAGGAAAAAAAACTGTTGGGAAAGGAGAGGACAGAAACCTGTAAGGGTAGCACCACACCTCAATTTCCCCATTGATTAACCCTGCTAATGTGCTAATCTACCCTACTACGCCTTCTTTCTGCAACAGCAACCCTCATCAAGAGCCAATTAACTCCTCGGTAGCCCACAGCCATCCATCATCATAGGACAGACACTCTCATCTTTCTCCTCATATTGTTGCAACACAGAGCAGTCAATGCAGGACCTGGTGCAGAACTATTGTAGAATTGTGGCTTCCCTACAATCGATAGGCCACGGGAATTGGCTTAATGTGAATGAAGCTCATAAAGTTATTGCTATAAGCTCTGAGGTCTGTTTAAAGAGCCACATGAGAACACCAGTCAGGACTTACTGTTGTAAACTATATTCTAAAGGTGAGGAGAAATTGCATTCATTTTTTTACGATCTTAGTGTTTTTAGCACAGTCTGCAACTTCGTAACTCGATGACAACAGACTGTAGACGCAGTTGGGGATTGAGGAAAAACATCCATGGAGAGGAAGGAGAGGGTAGGAATCTTTGAGGCGTGACAACATATGTATGGCAGTGGGGTATGTACTGATTTAATCACAGTTTGAAAAGTAGTAGGACCAAAAATATGTTAGTTTTATATGTAGAATATTGTGCATATCTTATTTTCCTATTACTCAGTTGCTGATTTTCTTGCATTGTTGTTTATATTACTATCAGATTTTTTTTGTTTCTGTACTCAACATACTACTCCACACCTGGTCATTATAAAAGAGACACATAATCAATGCCAGTTGCTGCAAATTACATTTCTCCAACTGAAGCCATGCTGAAACAGACCCTGTAAAATTGTGTGCAACCATCCATTTATTATTATACACTGTTTTATTACAATCAAAGGTCCAAAAGTACCTTCTCCCTGGATGTATTCTACGATCTGTTCAAAAATCAGAAGAAAAGCCATCGACTCTCTCTCTCCAGTAAAAACGAATGTCAACAACAAATCATCAAAAGCAAATTACAAGTTTCATCAGCGACTGAGAGATTTGGGTGCAGAGAGAGTGGATGAAGTACAGTAGTACTCTGTAGTTCGGTGTATGCATACGTCAGTGGACTGAAACTCAAGAGGTAATTGGACGTAAGATGATTCCTGAAGCAGCTTGGGTGTAATTTCTAATCAGCAGTACACTCTTGAAAGACATTCTCAAAAGCATCCAGGTGAAATCTCAAGGGTGCATTTACATGAGACAGACCTCAAATGATCAGAGCAACTTTGTAACATAACGAAAACACAACGACAAATCTTTTCAATCCAGACGTGATGTCAAATATCGAAAAACAACCTTTCTTACTTTAATTCCTTGTGTACTGTACCAAGGTACGGATTGTAAAAACAATTTTAAGAAACTAAAATCACTTTAAATTTTACAGGAAAACAACATGTTAAGCCAAAAGACAAAAACACAGCAATGTCCAGATCTGCATAAGAAACCCCTGGCTGTGAGAATCATGCAAAGATCTCGATGATCAATGTTAGGGGTTCCCAACATGCAGGAACAGCTGTGTATGTATGCCCACCCCCCCAACCCCACTCCATCTGCTGACACTACAGCTGAGCTGGCACTCTCCCACTTCACTGTCTGTTGCTTTCCGGGAGACATCACATCCTGACAGTTTGAGACAAACATCACAGCTGTGTTTGAGCTGTTTATTTTTAGGTCATCTCTTTTGCATGTCACCTGAACATCTTTCATACTCAGATATGTTTTGACAGGTCACTATAGCTGCTTGTAATATGTACATTGTCACTGGTTAAGAATGTTGGAAAACTACAACATTTGTGATACATTATTTCTACTACTAAGGTTTTCTAAAAACCATACACTTGTAGATGTGAATGTTCTGGATGCAAGATTCATGAGAGAGAGAGAGAGAGAGACAAAAAAACAAAACAGCGTTCCGCAACCAGATTGGTGTGACAATTACAATTCCTTTACAACCAAAATGACGCATCACAAAATTCACATTTTTGTTTTATATATTGAATAGTATTGCATAATATTTTATTTTAGGCCCCGTAACCCTATTGTTGTTTCTCAGGCCTCTTCGATTTTCCTGACATAAAGGCCACCTTAAAGAGTGAGCGCTGAATTAGCAGGATCCTCCACCCATGGCAAAAAGCTGTTAAAGACTGTGTAAACACTTGTGAAGTGTCTGTTTACCTGCCAATGTCTCTGAGGCACTGCCAAATCTAATCCACCTTGAGCCTGGCTCTCCGTGCTCCTGCTTTAAGTTGGCTGCATGCAAATGATTTCTGCTTCAAAGCGGACGAAAGGGTGAATGCGGACGTATATGGACTACAGACATACAGAGAGGTAAACGCTCAAGCCTAGCAGCTATTAGCATATGTAAGCATAGTTGTTACTTGTAAGAGATGTTTGATCAGCACTTACTCCGGCTGTCTCTTTTTTTGTCCTGATTTGCAGCTCGGAAAGTGTCCTCAGCAATTCACTGAAAAATAGAGTCTCTTGAGCTATTTATCAGGTAGAAAAATAAAAAAATGTTCCCCTCCAAGAATCAACCCGAGCAAACACTGGAACACTTCTGTGTGGTAGGTGTTCTTGCCTTACAGCAATATGGAGCATTGTATACTCCAGTTTCCTCCCACCATCATAACAGATGCGACTGTGTTTCTTAATGTAACTGTTCAAACTTAATTGACCGTAGGTATGAATATAAGTGGGAACCATAGTTTGTGTCTACAGATGATCCCTCTCCTCCCAGTGCTTTGGCAAAAAGTCTTAAGCAGGGGTTTAAAAGTGTAATGCACACTTCCCCTGGGGGGCGCCAGAGCCAAAATGAGAAAAATGAAAGGCAGGGTTGTGTAGAAGCATGAACCATAACTAACCACAACATCCATCACATTTGTCCTAGTAGGGCACTGAAAACTCCTGATTCCTTCACGTCGACTCATCTTACCATAGAGTCATAGTCGAAGTCGAGTGGACGAGTAATTTATGAAATCATCATGTTGACTGAGGACAAACTATGTCCAATGTCCTACTCCCTAGTGTCAAATGTTGTCTTTTTGCTCACTAGATGGGCTTTTAAAAACCCCTGGTTTAGGGTGTCCGTTGCCTCAACCAATGACTGCTGGGTTTAGCTCCAGCTCTGCCCACACCGTATAACCGATGCATGTAATGCAACTTAGTTATTGTTAGATTTACAAATTCGGATTTAACACTGCAAATGGGGAATAGAAGACTAATATATTACACAAATAGGTGTTTAGTAACAAGCCCTCAGTGTTTTAGCTAAGCAGCTGCTGCCATCTACATACACAACCAAGGATGTTTGCCATCTGCCATGGCCTGATGAATCATGCAGTGATTCATCATCAAGATAAATGTAGGATTTCCTGGAAGAATGTCAAACTGTCACCCCAGAAGAACAAAACCCACAGATGTGATATCATTGTTGAAAATCAGCCTGACTCTCACCAGAAGTGTTCACTGCAGGGGGGGAGAGGACCGAGGGCTTTGCTGTCTTCTGTCATCTATAGACAGGAGTGGAGATCTGAGAGCGAACAGGAGTTTGATGGACAGCTGTTGAAGTACCCAGGCCAGGGGTATATAATGGAGATGTCCATCTGTGACTTCATGCAAAGTACTGCTTTGAAAAGGAGCAGAGAAAGTGTGCAAATTACAGGATGAAAGGCTGCCAGGGATATGTGAGTGTTCTGAAAACAGACTGATGTTGTGCCTCTGTCAATACTCTCAAAGAGGTCATACTTCTTTGCATTTTAATAGCCAGTACTTCAAATTTACCTTCATATGATTTAGTACTTTTATTAACTTCGTAAATCTTTACATTGAAACATACCCTAAAGCTATCAGGGAATATTCCTAGAGAGAACATATCCTACCTGTATGTGGTAAAAAGGATGTGATATATGGCAAATACTTATGCATGAAAAAGGGAAACGACTTCAAGTGTGAAAATGTCTGGTCCGTACAGACACATGCCATAACTGGATAGAAATATAGACAGGCAGCTCATGAATCACTTAAGTACAGAACTCCAGCCCTGTCCCCTTTATTCCCCGCGGCCTTGATAAACAACAATAACAGCCGCAAGACAGTGATCAATCTACATTACATTTACAAACTACTAAAACAACACTCACCTTTTCTCCTTGCCATGCAGTCACTGCACAGTGACTGGGCTCTGTAGCTGAACAGAGACGGTATTAAACTAAAAGGTCAACCCTCAGTTATTAGGCCTGGCTCTGTTTGCTAATGGCTCTGCCCGAAGAGCCAACTATTGATCAGGCCCTGGAGCCTGCTGCAGCCATAAGGAAGACACACATTTTGTTTGTTCTTCCTAATTGAGCAAGGTTCACCTTGTGGGTAATCCCGTTGCATATTTTCAACTTTATACACTTGCAAAATCACTTTCTGGTGCACTTGATCAAAACACCGACATGTATGGCTTTGCAATTTGAAATGAATCCTGCTGTCAGTGTTAGAACTCAAACCATTTTTAAACTAAATGTCATTTAAGGTGAACAGATTTCTGAAATTAAAATCTGGGACATTTTCAATACAACAGTGGAAAAAATCTTTAAATATTATCATTAATCAAATTATTAAAGTACTTTTAAACTCTAACATAGAGATAACATTGTCATTTCATGGTAGTCATTTCATCTAATACAACTAGTTAGACCTAACTAACAACAGTGACTCAAAATACAGGACTGAGCCCACACAGACACACAGAACATCTAATACAACTAGTTAGACCTTTACTAACAACAGTGACTTAGGGCATCAGCCCGACACAAAATACAGGACTGAGCCTACACAGACACACAGACCTAACTATTAATCATTGCCTTATTTACTGATTTATTTATTATTTTCTCAGAGTCTCAGGTCCCCATAACACCCAGAAAAATGCTATTTTACCAAAGCAGTTTTCTACCTGCCCCTCTTCCAAAACAGAGCCACACACAACGTCATCACCTCTTCATCCCATGCTACCGTTAACGTGACAGCTTCACTAATGACAGTTATGAAAACTCATAATGTCATAATGTTAACGTTCACTGACTTTTATATCGTTACGTTAGGTCTTCAGTTCAGAATAACAATCATAAGTTACTTCAACTCTACTGTCATTCCACACAACATAAATAACTTCATATACAACATACCGTTTGTCGCGACCCTTTTCCCCCATTGTTTTTGTTGACGCTCCTGCGTCTGGTCGCGCTTCCTGATAACGTCACGTCATGCGACGTCGTCTCTGGCGATGCGTTTTTCTGACTATCATAAGAAATGTTTCTTTGAGTCTGCGCGTATTTTCCAAAAACGTGGATATACGTGGAAATTGCGTTGCATTGCGAGTTTCTAAAGCCCAAACCCCCGCTTGTATTTAGGTACTTTTGTTTTTATTTTTACTTTTTTTTTAATAAAATCAGCGCAGATATCTACAAATATATACAGATGGTAGAGTTCATGACAGAACCCAAAAATGAGGGGGAAAATAAACAATAATTATAATACATCGATTGAGTATTGACATTAATTCACATCACTGTGATGATCGTAATATAAATTTTAATTAAATTTAAAAATCTAATTACTCTTTTTATATATTAATATAGTCAGTGGGGCTCTTAGAGGAGTGCTGGCTCTGTTCTGTCTGCACACAGATATTTGAAGACCGTAGCTCTGTTCTGTCCCAGGTCTCAGTTATTATGGTCTTGGAATTTCACCAAACTGCTTACTAATCAGGATGCTCCATTTACAGTAATACCTTCTCATCAGAACAGATTTTTTTCCAATTTAAACTTGCCAATAATTTATAAATAAAACATTTTTTGGATGCTACCTAGAAAGCAGCTAGACTACACTGTTTGATAGACTTTTATGGCAGATGTCCACGTTGGAACTGCATTAACATTTGTCAGTGTGATTGGACTAATGGTGTGTCATTACTGCCAGCTTAAAGACCAATCTTCATTTATAATAAAGTATTTTTAGCAAGAAGTTTCAAACAAAACTTTTTTTTAAACATCGCACTTTTAACACAATACTTTATCCTGATGGTGGAATGAAGAGGCCTAAAAATATGAACTGGCCGGAGGTGAAATCAGTGACCAATCCTTGTTGTCTACAGATGCTCATTTCGGCATTTCAGTCCAGAAACACGCAGATTAAAGATGGGGTTAACTGGGCACGCTCACCTGATCATAGATATGTGATTGTGGTTGGCTGTCCAGATGCGTGGCCCTGTGATTGACTGGCAATTTATGCCAGCCACTGGACAGTTCATAGTCATTGGGCCCCCCGCCCAATGACTGCTGGGATGGCCTCCAACTCCCCTTACGACGCTGAAAATAATTACAAGACTGAAAATGAATAAATGAACGTTTTCAAATCACCAATCTAGACCAGAGAGGGGAGAGAAAGAGAGGGAGGGAGGCAAGGAGAGAGCAGCCATTTCAATTAAGCTAACCGCTAAGGTAGGGCAGCAGTGTATCAGTAGTTAGCCTCTACTTTTGGTCAAATAGCTAAACAAGATCATTACAAACGTTTAGCGACACCATGTGGACTGAGCATGTATAGTATTCACCTTCTGAGAAACGGACTGAGCATGTATAGTATTCACCTTCTTCACCTTCACTAAATTACACTTAGCTCACAATCCTAGCTTATTCGTTTATCCTACTGTATGTGTACAGATTGCACACACGGAGCACATTTAATGTGAGTGAAACTATCTTTAGAAATGAAACAAAATTGGGGGAAAAAAATAGCAACATAAAACCTGGAAGCTTGAGTTGCTCTTGTTTCCCGAAAGTCTGATTCAAGGCCTTTTATCTCCAGCCACGAGGCATGTGATGAATTACTGCCGTTCCACAACAGCCTCTGTTCTGCGGGAGGTCAATAACTCATCTATGATCACTGAGTGTGACCATCGCCAGGCACTTTGATCAAAAATATAAGACTGTCTCTGTGATCAACTGCAAATCTGTCATTGCTATGCCCAGTGACACAACCTTAAACAAATCTTCAACCGCCAGACGCCTTTCATGGCGTTCCATCAGCGGCGCCGTGTCCTGATGAGGGTGTTCTATAGGGTGGATGCTTTATACATAAATCATTTTTTAATTATTTATTCCATGCAAGGCCCTGGCATGTTGACAAATTAAGCAATCTGGGTAGGCAACAGTGTACGGGGCGGGGGGGGAAATAAACTATTAATAGAAAGCTGGATATAAGATCGGCATCTGTCATTATCAATATTCTGTGTCTGGTGTTTAGCAGTATTCTTTAGTAGGTTTGAAGAAGGCGAACATTGAAATATGGCAAAACAAAGTTTTTAGGTCAGTAGAGAATAAGGACAATTTTCGTTTTAGCTAAAAGCATTTTTTTCCCTCTCTCTCTTGGGCATTTCTGTACATTTTCAATGTTCCACTCTGCAGCAGTGCATGGATGGATTCAAATAGAAAATAATGATTCCCAGATTCAAGCTTTGCCTCATAAATTATGCCCTTGAGGAAGTCAAAAGTGCAGAGTGTAGATAAGTATATGGTAATTCCCTACTTATAATGAAAAAGACTGAAGTTACAAATAAATAACAACAATGTCAAGTATTATTCATTTTTGACCTTTAGGAAACAACACATACAAATACTGTATCTGCAGTGGCCGTTTTTGTCATACAGAGGGCGCCATGTTGGATCACAAGCTTTTTTCTTAACCCATAGATGACATTTAATAACAGCATAGTAAATATATATATTTATATGTAGTATATATTTGCAGGTTGATCAGAATCAAGAATACTGTAACGATTTTTTACCTGTTAGAAATAGTATGACCAGTTAATAGTCATGACCTCAGTGACCTTTAGCCCAAAAAAATCCACCGTGTACCACTAAAAAACCCCAAAGTACGACTTAGTGGTAAGCGAACCACCCATTGAGAACCACTGGACCAAGACATGGGACCAGAAACACTAACTTTAGCGCAGTGGTACCAAACAATGCTCTGTCTCTGACTGTTTCCTGTATTTACTGGGTCTAAAATCTAAAGTCAAAGTTTCGGTACCAAACGTTGCTCTGTCTCTGACACTCTGACTGTTTCCTGTATTTACTGGGGCTAAAATCTAAAGTCAAAGTTTAGAAACATCACCCTCAGCTGCCGTATGATTGGTCGATTGCCCAGATCAACATTGTGTGGGGAATGATTCAGCGACGCCTCTAAAAAGGATTTCAAAGTTTAGCACTGAGGCTCTGAGTGTACTCTTAACATGAAATTGAATCAAATTAAACTTGATTTCATAATAATTTAAATAAGGCCCATTCACTGTAGGAGTCTCACACAAAGAGCCATAAAAGTGGAAGTTTGAGAGTGTGACTGGGAGGACGAATGTGAAGCAAATGAGAAAGAGAGGGAGAGAGACAGAGAGAGAGCAGAACAACAGAGACGGCACTGGAGCTTATTGGGATCGACTCCTCCACACTGCAGACACTTTAATAACCATTCTTTATGTTATAATAACACAGCTGCCATGCAATGGACGGTTTCAATTTCTCCAGCAGTGTCCATCACGGGCCGCGCAGATTAAGAGCCTTGTGTGGACTAATCGCAGACAGAGTCAGATTGCCCTCGGTGTGGCTTCGCTGCTTGTTAATGAGGCCATTTTCCTGGAGCGAGTACCACTCAGGGGGAACTAATCCTTGAGTGGTGTGAAGTGCGAGGTCTAAAGGGCACACGGAGAAGCACTGCAAATGGCGCCGACAACATTTTCTTTTCTAATCTGCTGTCTTTTAGGCACAAGCAGATAAAAGTCCATTTTGAACGTTGCACACCCAGCGGGCGGAGACTGATGTCAGCATCAATTTATTTCAACTTGAGTATCATCTAAGGGAGAGTACGTAGAAGACGCTCACCTGCGGTAATTCGCCTGGAGTCAAGGTCTACGTTAATGTTAACAGCGGCGAAGATTTATTAACTGTGATGTTTGAGAATCAATAAAAACACGTTTTCCTAAAGTGGTTTAACTAAAACCTTTAGACAAATGAGTTTGAAACTAACCTGCTTCTACTTACAAATTTACCGTGTGGAATCAGACTACAAAAAAAAAAAAAAAAAAAAATCACTCATCCACTCAAACTAAAACTTAATGGATGTTATTATTGTTGTTGAACCCATGACATCTTGTCCACCATGTGAAAAATTATCCGTAGATTTTTGACCAAAAAATAAGTAATTTAATCAGTGCTACACTTCACAGTAATACATGTATTTCATCAGACATTTCAAGTTTCTTAAAACTTCTAGTAGACTTGACTGCATAAGAACACACACGTGAGGCAGAGAGAGTGTGCATCTGACAGTAACCATAGTCCAGGACCTGTATATTTAATACAGAAATGTACAGTATATGTTGAAGAACTTCAAATAGCCTTACAGCTAAGAAATACGTCTAAATTTTGAAGCAAAAATATGTTTTAAAAAAATATATTATAAAAATAATCTCATATTTGGTCGTTTCTAACTTTTTCACAGACAGACTTTCCAGTTCATTTTCCTGTAGAATTAATCAATAAAATTTTAATATTTTCAACATCTCTAAACCCAGAAAAGCGATGAAAACATTCACTTAAAATAAAGATTTCCTGTCCATTGAGGTCATTCACACGTATGTACATTAAAAAAAGTCTTATTTTATTAGTAGACACTGTTTCTAGATACAAAACACATTGATTCATTAATCGCCCTGCTATAAACATGGGCTGGAATGATAAACATATTTTTGATAATTAGTGGAAAATTCTAATGCAAAGTCAGTTGATTGATTCCCAAAGCCAGCTAAACATATTTTTGATAATTAGTGGAAAGGATTCTAATGCAAAGTCAGTCAGTTGATTGATTCCCAAAACCAGTGCTGAATAAATTAACATTTTTTGTAGCGTTATTAAAAAATTATCAAGGTTTAAAATAGTTGAAAGGAAATGTAAAAATTAAATAAATAATAAAAAAACAGCCGGCGTTTACAGAGTGAAGAGAGAAAGTGAAGACATTAGCAGGGAGACAGGATGTCGTCAGTTGGTAGCAGTGACATGGACGTTGACACGACAGACGTGTCTGTGATGGCAGACAGTTTGGACAGTTGACTGCTGCCCACTTGCTTCCACTGACCTGTTTCTGCCTTCTATTTTGGGAAATCTCATTTCCTGCCACTTCCAAAAGGTTACATCTACATTAAGGACATGTAATTCTGAAAAAAAAGAAAAAAAAAATCTATTACAGGCAGAGGATAAAAGGAGGGTCAGGACTGAGAGAGACGACCAAAAATAAAAAGTAAGGGCCTATTTTAAGAGATTGTCTTTTTGGGGGTCGTGTTTCTCGTGTTTCACACATCATAAAAATAAAACCACCAAAATCAAAGTAATCCTGATTCTACTGTTGTGTTTGTTATATTTTAAAACAATAATTTGATTTATTTAAAGCTGTTGTTTGTGCCTTTTTTCTGTGAAATTCCATATTAATAATTACTAAGACATTTAACTATGGACATTGTTTCACACTTCACTAAAATAATCAAAACATCAATGTTAAAAATGTATTTTTTAATTATGTTTAATTGTAATTTTATCTTCCAGTTCACAAATTTAAAAAATCCCATAATTTTCTCAGTAAAACACTTGATTCTAAAGTGTAACTTCTCTGACTTTGACACATTTATTTTAAAGGACAAAGTATGTTTACTGCAGTTTTTTTCCCCTTGTTGGCAGTGTGGATGATAATGTTTACTGCTTCAAATTATTATTCTGTGTTGCATACTTTATATCCACATATTGACACATATTGGCGTAATTAATCACAGCCAAACAGTCTGTGATCATTGTTTCTCACTGTAGGTGAGTGAAGGACAGCGCGCGGCTCCGTGAAGCTGCAGTTGATGAGAAAATCTGCTCTGGC